TGGTAGTTCAGGTATAGACTGCAACTGCAGTTCTTTTGCAACTTATTCCTTAATCAGATGAACACTTGTCAGAGATTTATTGGGCGTACGATATTGGCGTGCGAACGTAGGGGCCAAAATGCGCGTGTCTACGACAGACTTCTTTTTAAGAGAAAAGAACCGCTGAAGCAAGAATCGATCCACCGACCTGTCGTCAATCACACCAAGACTCTAGCCACTCGGCTACGGCGACACATATATGTCTGGCAGCCATATACAATGCAAAAATAGTCTCAACTCAAATCTAGCCTCAATGCATGCATTGTCGCGGCGGATGGCTATGACGTCGCACTAGAGATGTCGCTAGTTGATGGGCCGATTCGTGTAATACAATTGGCGAATACGCTTCCGGGTCAACTCTTGCAGGAGACGACGTCCCTGTATCACGGTTGGTTCAGCCATACCTAGCGGGTCATATACCGAGCTCACCACAGAAAGCAAACCGCGTCTTGAGCAGGTCTTCACCTTCGCGCCCTCTGTTTGTGGAGACAGCTTCAGAAGATCATGTTCTGGGTGCCATATCACCCCGAGCACCCTCTCGGTCGGCAGCTCATCCCAGAGGCCAGACCATTTCTTCATTTCAGTCGATCTGTCTTCGTTTTCGATGGCTTCTACCACGGCTGGGCTGTTCGATGCGAATTTAGTCAGATTGAACCCTCCCCGTTTGCACAGGTCCTTTAGCTCATTTGCTAGAGTGATGGCCTCTTCGTCTGTCGGAACTGATCGTAGCACGTCATCTACATAGAAGTTTTCATTGACAGTTGTCACGCACTCTTGCGAGAAGTCGTCACCCGCGTCGGCTGCAGTCTTTCTTAAAGCATAGCATGCTACGCTGGGTGAGCTTGTGGCCCCAAATAAGTGGACCGTCATTCGATAGTGACGAGCGCGACCACTGATGTCTCCGTTCTCAAACCAGAGGAATCTGATGAGATCTCGATCGGCTCCATCGACCTTCACTTGGTTAAACATTCCTTCAACGTCGGCTGTGACCGCCACCCGTTCTAGCCTGAATCGCAGCAGCACGTCCACCAATGAATTCGTCTGATCTGGACCAGTCAGGAGCATGTCGTTGAGTGATACGCCATTGTATCTTGCTGCGCAATCAAAGACAACGCGTATCTTGTCAGGTTTTGTCGGGTGATACACTGCGTGATGTGGCAGGTACCACACTCGTCCATCTGCTCTTCTCTGTTCTTCTTCCGGCACTTCTTCTGCATACCCCTTGTTGATCATTTCTTCCATAAATCCTTTATAGTCCTCAGCAAGTTTTGCATCCTTTCGCAGTCGCGATCGGAGATGCTCCAGTCGGTTTTCGGCCATCTTCACATTCACTGGCATCCTCTCTTCTGGCGTTTTTGTTGGCAAAACAGCACTGTAATGGCCTTCTTGCATCTCCATTGAGGATTCAATTTTTTGAACCCATTCTTTGTCTTCCACTGATAGGCCTCTTCTTGTGCAGTGCAGTTTCTCCTCATATTCGCTGTCGTACATGTTACGCACCATTTCTTCGATGGACGCTCTCTCGTCTTTCACAGCCGCTCTACACACTGTGGTGTGCGACTTTCGTGATGGTGAATCAAGACCGCTGACCACCCAACCAAATCTAGTCAGCACCGCGTATGGGCTTCCGTCTACACTTTGAATCACTCTCACTGGTTCCATGGCTAGGAACGCATTTGCTCCCAAGAGCAATCCAACTTCACTTATCTCGGGCTCTGGTAGCTCTAAATATCTGAGGTGATCCCATCTTCTTACATCTTCTGTCTTGGGGTAGTCGCTTGGGTCGGCAGGTATATTCTCCATGCTGAAGAGCTTTGGTAAGTCCATTCTGTTATCTCCGCACAGGTCCGTGATGTGAAGTCCTTCCACTTCCCGTGTTGGAATGCTGATGTCCTCCTGAGCCACAGTCGTGATGGTCAGGTGCCTGCTGGGCTGCTGTTTAATGCCGAGTTGATCCATCAAGCTTTCAGTAGCGAACGAATGGGTAGACCCACTGTCGAGGAATGCGAATGTCTTAATCTTTATGTTGCCGTTACAGACGATGACTGGGACCAGGGGTAGTGTGGGCCGATCTGAGTTTTCCGCTCCTGCAGTTCCGCACACTGTCGCACCAGTAGTACCGGTCCTCTCTTGTGGTGGCTGAACTGTCTCTCTCGGTGGTCCAGTTTCATGGCCACGACTTTGAATGGCGAGTTCATGACGTCCTTGGTCTCGGTTCTCTCTCTGTGGGCGTTCCAGATGCATCGCAGTCGGATGACGTCTTTTGCATATTCTGCACTCAGCTCGTCTTCGGCAATCGGCGCTCATGTGACCTTGTCTTAGGCAAGAGAAACACAGGGACCTGCTCATTGCGAACGCCTTTCTCTGCTCCGGTGAAGTAGCTCGAAGCTGCTCACAGTCGGCTGTGACGTGCCCTATAACGTCACAGAACACGCAGGCTGCCTGATTCTGGGTTTGGGCGGCTGCAACAACGGGCCTGGTGCGCCTCACACTGCTGCTGCCTGCTCTGCCTTGGGAGGGGAGCACTGCGCTGTTGTCGCGACTGTACATGAGACGACCGTAGGTGGGATTGGCTGCTATCCTAGCCTCATCTCCTACAAACTTTACGACGTCTTCAAACTTCACTTCACGTCCCTGCCTCTCTTCAATGTCATCAGCATGTCTCCTCCAACTGTTCAGCATCGTCTCCGGTAGCTTGCTGGTCAAAGATCGCATTGTTCTGGGATCTCCCATCATGTGCGAGGAAGAGCCGAGGGCATTTTTGCAGCTGAGCAGCAACAGCGCAAATCGGTCGAGCGCCTCGACATCATTCGCCTTAATGGTACTGAACGAGTTAATACGATCCATGAATGCTGATGCTATATGGCTAGGCTGGCCGTACCTCTTATTCAGCATTCTTATAGCCTCTTGGTATCCGTTCTCCAGATACATGCAACTTGTCACTATAGCGTGCGGTTTGCTGCCCGGTGCCATGTGCTGTTCAAGATAATAGAGCTTCTCTTGTGCGCAATCCAGCTTTGAGGCTATCTTGAGCTGGAAACCCTTCATGAACTGAGCGAACTCGGTCACGTCTCCTCCGAATTTCTTCATCTCTATGATCGGTAAGCGCATCAGTGAGGCAGTTCGCTCGCGCTCTTGGGTCAGCTGTCTGTTGTCCGGCTCGGGGTTATCTGACGCGCCGTCGTCCCTGGCGAAGCTCACCCTGTTTGATGACGTGGCGGGCTGGTCATCGATGACAACCGCGCTCGTTGACTTGTCTCCACCGACACCAGACTCGGCGGTCGGCACTGGACAACGGTGAGATCCTTGCGAGGTATTACATTCGTTGACTGCGGCACCTGCCATTTCTTGATCCTGGAAACATTTAATAGCCTGCTCTCTAGCGGACACTTCTGCTATCTTGGCTTCCAAATCTAGCAGTTCCTCTTTACGTTTAAGCTCGGCAACCTGTCTTTCTATTTCCTGTTTTTCCTTAACGGCCTTCAAACGTGCCAGCAGTCCAGCTCTGGCGGCAGCTTCATCTGCCTGTCGCAAAGTCAGAGACTCTGACGTCGTTACTCTTGTACCTGCTTGGGATACGCTGTCATTTGGCTCTACGTTGTCATGTTCTTCTAGAGCCTCTGCCAATCTAAGCCTAAGCTTTTCCTTATTTCCCTGGCATGACAAACCTCGTGCCTTTAACTCGCGCTTCAAGTCCTTGACGTTCATATTTAGCATCATCTTACAGCTGGTCTTATAGCATCATGACACGAAACGAATAGCAATAAAAGGACATGAATAAGATTCGTAAATTACCTTGTAGGAGCGCTGATCCATCCGCATCACATCAAAATTGAGTACCTTGTGATGCTTGAATAGGTAGATTTTACGTGGTCATATCGTTCGTATTTAATATAATGAAACTATTCCTTTGTTATGAGCAAGAACAAACTTCGTAACTGTTAATTCCCTGGAGGGATCTTCTGGTACCGTTAATTATAAATATATAGTTTCTTTGTATTTTCTTGTAGTCGGAGTCTTCTTGAGTCATAGAGAAAGAAAGGACATCTTCTACGGGGTTTATTGCTTGAGTGACACTCTCATAGGCGGTATCTTAACGCAAAACATTACCGTTTCAATCGTGGTCACCAGCAATTCCTCGTACTATGCACTGTCTACATTATATGAATATTTCTCTTAAATGTTTCACATTTGCTATTTCCTTAATATTTTCCCCGTTACGAAGTTTATGTCCTCCTTACTAACTAACTAAAAACCTTGACCTTTCTTCAATCAAAATATTTACAACAATTGAAACACTTCGCTCGCGTGATCATTTCCGGGAGCGCTCTCGGTAGAATATTCAACACCTACCGTCTTAGTATAATATCGATGATGTTTGATAAAAACATCATCTAAGTATTATGTTTTGTCATAACCCAAAACATCTAACGACAGATGATCTATGTCATTTACGTCTTGATGCACTTGTTGCCAGATATAGGTAACGTCTGCGCAGTTAATTCGAGTGACAATACCGTACCTGCTATCTTGAGCCCTGTGACCAGCAATCGTGACTTCAAAGCGGCAATTGTTCAGATCTGATGACAGCTCAAGATAGTAAAACCCTCTTGACTCTTGACTGTTCACTTCACTACCCACCTATTACAACTGCAACATCTGAGAGCTGATATGATGGGTAAACATGAGATAAGCGTGTATGAGATGTCTCAGATGTCTTCTTGTCTGCGCTCTCATTGTGATATGATGTGCGTATTGACGGCAATAATTACCTAACGTACCTATCCAATCTATCAGATTGAATTTTAACAGTCTTGTCTCATTGTCACGTATTATAAAAAATTAACAGTGACTGCGAACATCACCTATGATTAAGAATGTAGTTAGTTATGCACATTTTACACTACATAGAATTAGAAAATAAGAATATAAGCATCTTATCATCCTGTCCTTCTCCACAGGTGGAGAACGAGTACGGCAGCTACTCGTCGTGCGACGCCGTGTACATGACGCAGCTGCGCGACCTGCTGCGGCGTCACCTTGGCGACGACGTCCTCCTCTTCACCACTGACGGCGGTGCCGACTACTTTCTGCGCTGCGGACCCGTGGACGGCGCCTTCGCCACCGTCGACTTCGGCACCGGCTCGGACGCGGCCGAGGCGTTCGCGGCGCAGCGGCGACACAACAAGATCGGGGGCCCGGCAGTCAATTCGGAGTTCTACCCGGGCTGGATCAACCACTGGGGCTACCCGCGCAACATGGTCTCCACGGAGGAGGTGGTCAACGCCACCAAGACGCTGATCTCTCTCGGCGCCAACTTCAACGTGTACATGATGCTGGGAGGAACGTCGTTCGGTCTCAGGGCCGGCGCCAACATGGGCGACACGTTCGAAGCCTGCACCACGTCCTACGACTTCAACGCGCCGTACACGGAGAGTGGCAACATCACTGACAAGCTGTACGCCCTGCGGGAGCTCATCTATCCTTACACGAACATGACAGAGATGGCGGTTCCCGACCCGCTGCCTGTCACCTCTTATGGCGAGGTGAAGATGACGTGGCAGACCAGTCTGCTGGAGGCCGTGCAGGCGCTGAACGTCACCCGGGTGTCAGACTCGCCGGCGGTGCCCTTCTGCGACGTCCACCAGGCGTACGGCTTCGTGGCCTACTCTGCGGCGGTGACGTGGAAGCCGCCGCAGCCGGCCGTGCTCTCCGTACCCGGCGTGCGCGACCGAGGCTACGTCTGGCTGGACGGTCGTCCGGTGGGCGTCCTGTCGCGTGCCGAGAGCGCCTTCTCCATACCCCTCCTCGCCGCCAAGGAAAGCACAGTCACCATCATTGTCGAGAGCCTAGGCCGCATCTGCTACGGCGACATTCACGATCGTAAGGGGATACTGGAGGCGGTCACCCTCGGGGGCAGGGAGCTGACCAACTGGAGCATCACCGCCCTGCCGCAGGACCTGACGCAGCTGGTGCCGGAGACGCCGACGCCGCAGGGGGACGCGCTGCACCCGGCGCTCTACAGGGGCACCTTCTCCGCGGCCGACCCACCCGCCGACTCGTTCATCCACTTTCCCGGCTGGCACAAGGGAGTGGCGTTCGTGAACGGGGTGAACCTGGGACGCTACTGGCCCGCCGTCGGACCTCAGATGACGATGTACGTGCCGGCCCCCTTCCTCCGCGCCGGGGAGAACACCGTCACCCTCCTGGAGCTGGACGGCGCGCCCTGCGGTCCGCAGGAGTCCTGCGCCGTGGCGCTGAAGGATTACCCCGACCTGAATGGCCCGACTCCGGACAGGATCTCTCCCTAACGAACGGTGCAAGCCCAGTCTAACTAGATGACAATTTTAGGCATTTGTAGGAACATTTGGGGATTACAACCTGGCATTTATATTGTTCTTCCACGGGTATCATTTGCGAGTGATTATACGTATTGTAAATTCTAATGTTACAAGCTTAGAATGTGAATAAAGAGGAGGCTTCGTCGAGGACTTCAATCGTTCTCAATCGGGCGACATCTTTAAACTATGAACGAAAACCACTTGAGCGAATTCGCTTTGGAACTACTTTTTCATCAATCATATTTCAATGCTTGAAGAATCATATTTACTCCCCGGATATCCTCTGTAAAAATGGAGTTCCCTTGATTCTTGTATCGGTATCAAGTGCGTTCTAAAATCAAACAGAAATGAAGATTAGCAGTTAAATGTCAAAGGCTTCAGCTAATTCTTCCTTATCTACGTATATATGACTCCAGAGTAAGGAGACAAGCGTGTCATGTATGTATTTCGGCACAATATTTGCACAGTCAACCCGCGTTTCGTCAGCAGTATCGTTGGAACAGGCCGGGTGAAGGGTCTTTCGAGTACAATATCATATGGTAGTGGATGGCGCATCAACACTCACTAACAATAACCATTTTTAACAAATTCAGCAGCCACCGATTTGTTTTCGCCTCGCCTTCCAAAGTCAGCAGGCAATAGCCGCAAGACACCACAGTTAGTGGACACCATAGTAGTTACTGTTCAGTGGTCAGCTGGTCGACAAAGCTGAGGTCGGTGCCGAGCAGGTTTTCTTCTATCCAGGCGTCCATCTTTTTGACCATCTCGGGCGTCAGGTGGGCCTTCCAGCTGCCCGTCTGGCCTGGCGGTGACGTAAAGCAGGAAAAGGAAACATTAAAGTGACCATCCCACCTTAACATTAGTTTTGAGTTGAGATAGCCAAATGGTGGCCATGGCCTGCAAATACCGGTTTGGGCACTCACAACATCGAAAAATGCTTCAATTCGGAGAAATGGAATTTCAAACTTGCAAGTTTCGGATTCTAAGGGGCTAATGCATTGGAATGCCCCCTTAGAATTTGTGACGTCAGCGGAGATCTAACGATTTTTAAAACTTTGACTAAAACGTTTGGTAGTACGCGGTGGTATTCGCTGCTTTCCGCGCAACAAATGCCGCACTTTCAAATAAAGTCGCTATAGTCTGTTTTTCGTATCTTCTACCTTCACTCAAAGACGGTAAATTCTCTAATCACGTGCTCCAGCGAACATCCAATTAAATCAACACCGCTGCAAAGTCAATTTTTATCTCGAAGCAACTGCAAGATCGAACGTCTGTCCCCTTGGCCTATCCCGTTAATCCAAATGCGATGTTCTTTGTCAAGTGAAATGCATTTGCATAAAAACGTGTCATCATATTTTCATTCTGGCAAAATTATCCCTTTCTATAGGAACGGAATCCCTTTCTATAGGAATCCCTTTCTATCCCTTTTTATAGGAACAGCGGAGATCCCAAAATGTAAACAAAAATAAAAGTCTAATATCTCGAAAACCGGTGAATATCTTTCGATGAAATTTGGTAGATATTCGTTTTTGCTCTTTCTGAACCGAGCGACATCACTTTCATGCCAATTCATTAGCTTTTCTGAAGGTGGGAGGGTCCTTTTAACATTTATCCCAGCGAGACAGCTACGTTGACAGCAGCTATGTAAGCTGGTTGAAAATTAATGGACTTCATATTGTATTATACACTCGTGGTATACAAGTAAAACAATGTATTCAAGCACGTATTGGAGTACTTAAGAGCTGAGATATGCACTAAGCAGTGATGATAACGGCAGCGCAAAAATGCCTGTGAAATAAACCCAAAAATGTAATTGCTTGCAAGTGTTATTATGTAACCTAAAGCGTTTTTTCAGCATTGAAATGTACATTTCATTTAGGATGATAAGAATATCCGTACATGTTTATCCTCATTTTCGATCCAGAATATTTCTTAACTATCTTTTTCTTCAGCTTATCCCTTCTTATATTATTAACCCGCGCACCGACGGGGGGGGCGGATATCCGCCCCCCCTGAGGTTTTTCGCGAATAGCGGGAAAACCGCGGCGCGTAGCGCCGCGAAATTTGGTATGACTATAACCTCATCAATTTTACACATGGTGTGCAAGTTTGAACCTCCTACCTTTCAAGGTCAGGTCACCAGGTCACTTTGAATGACCCAACCTCAAGTCACTTTTTTGCAACTTTGTCACCGTGCCAGAGCTACAGTAGATGTCGGAGGCCTTTGAAAGTCGCAGGATATTATAAGGTCATTAGTAGCTACAAGTTGTATATCTCGGAATTTTGTTATCGGTGACCTAAGGTCAGGTCAATTTCGCGACCTCCCCATTATAAGTCAATGGGGGAAAAATCAACTCCCTGTTTTTACCACTAAAACGGGTCGGAATGGCCCTATATACCATACATGACTTCATATACGATCAACCTTCACTACCTTGAGGTCTGTTTTGCTGTTGGGCAGCTGTGAGGTCATGTGACGTCATCAAAGGTCACCAAAGGTTTTTGGCCAATAACTCCGTACAGGAACAAGGTACAGACGCGTGGATGGTCTCATTGTGTTCAGCTCGTCAAGACGCATCGAATGATATACATGATGACCTCGAGGTCACGTGACCTGAGGTCAACCTTTGACCTTGACCTTTCGAGGTCAACATATATATCATTCGATGCGGATTGACGAGGGGATCACGATGATGCCCTTAGTTTGTTCCTATCTTGACTAATTCGAAAGTTATTCGAGAAAAACTCTCTCAATATCTAGCGCCGCCATTTTGACTTTTTCGACCCCTGTGACGTCATCTTTGACCTGACCTGAGAATGACCTTTGTAAAAATTGTAGATCTTGGCCGTGCGTATCCGATGCCGTTTACCGCTTGTCGCTATCTTGCTTCGTTCTCGAGATCTCAGGGGGGGGGGGCGGTCATCCGCCCCCCCCCCCCCGTCGGTGCGAAGTTGGCGCAGACCCCCGTCGGTGCGCGGGTTAATTTCCTAACAAATTTAGGGTAATCCCGTTCAAACCATATCCACGTTACAGACATACATACACACCCACCCGTTCAAAACCTTCAGCAGGACGGCCTTACCTTTGTTGATGAACGACCGTTCCGGGTCCATCAGGCCCGGGACATCCCTCAGAAACTCGTTATTGACGTTGGGGTTCTTCCTCATGTTGTCGATGTGCAGGTGATTCACTAGCTTCTCCATCTGTTCATCCGTCAGCGTCTTCCCGAGAAACTTGGCCACTTTGGTGATGACGCTCCTCAGATCCTGCATAGAGAACAAAATCATTCGTCCGTTAACCGGAGCCCCTGGGTAATTTTGAACGAGAATAAAGTATTTTGATTGACAGGTTTAATTCAACCATAGATCACTATATATCTATATTTAGTGGTATATGATTCAACATATTGCGCACAGAAAAAAAAAACGAGAGTAAAGACTCAGTCGACCGAGGAAGGAACGCATCACTGTCGCTATTAGTTCCAAATAATATGTACGATATTGAATACATTACACATACCCACGCGTATCTACATATAAGCCTACCTTTTTCATGTCTTCGTAAAAGATGAAGCACATATTGGGGTGCCGCCGGAGGTGCCAGGCCTCCAGCACATGCGGGAAGAACGGTGTCTCCAAAGCTGCAAAACAAAGTAGGTAGGTGTTTATTTACACGTTATTTATTTACGCGTTAGTGTCCGATCGCCCATACCGTGTTTGTGTAAAGCGAAATCAAAATCTTTAATCGTAGCCAATAATCATTTAGCATTGAACTAAATTTGAAGTGTGAATTGCACAATTCGCCTTAGCTAATTCAGTTTTGAAGGGGTACATACCTACAAATTAAAGGGACCCTCCCACCTTAACATTAGATTTGAGTTGAGATAGCCAAAATGGGGTCCCTGGCTCACAATTACCGGTTTCGGCACTCACAACATCGAGAAATGCTTTAAATCGGAAATATTGAATTTCAAAATTGCAGCATTTTGATTCAGAGGGGCTAATGCTTAGGAATACCCCTCTGAATGTGTGACGTCAGCGCAGATATCTAACGATTTTTAAATGTTTGACTAAAACGTTTTGTAGCACGCGGTGGTATATGCTATTTGCGCGAAACATCTGCCGCAAACGCCGCACTTCTAAAATAAAGTCGCTAGAAACAGCGGAGATCCCAAAAAGGTAAACAAAAGTAAAAGTATAATATCTTGAAAACCGGTGAAGATTTTTCGGTGAAATTTGGTAGATATTCGTTTTCGCTCTTTCTGAACCGAGCGACATCACTTTCATGCCAATTCATAAACTTTTTTGAAGGCGGGAGGGTCCCTTTAAACCACACCTGGCAAAAAATGACGACACGGAAAGGGATATTCCTTCTTTAAACATTTTTGAGTGCGCACTTTGTACATTTGTGTAAGCATGCCGTTGTCTTACTTTGGCCGTTGATGAAGTGCTCGAACAGTGTTGCGAAGTCTGAGTCGAAACCCTGGAGTTTTAGAGCCTTCAGATGGTTGAAATAGGAAACAACCATATCCTTTGGGTTTCTTGCCACGTATATAACCTGTAAGCACTAAGCAGTCAACGTCTCACAACATGTAACCAGTGATTACTCCCGTAACCAGTGATTACTCCCGAAACCAGTGATTACTCCCGTAAGTCCAATAAAGAAAACGATTTTTTCTGCACGCAACTCCAAATCACCAACTATTAACTAAAATGTTCCTCAAACCATTGGTGTCATCACCTTGGCCTTCTTCAGAAGGTCCGGCGGGTTCAGCGACATCGGCAGGTGGGACTTGACGAAGCGCGAGTGCTGAGTGGAGACCGCCAGCCGCTGGGCCGGGTCGAGCGTCATCTCGGGAGCCAGCTTCTTGGCCTCGGCGAACATGTTCCGTACATGGTCCGGGTCATGGAGAAGTGAGAATCTGCCGGACCAAGATAACAATTTACTAATATGCCGGACGACGCCGAGAAGGTAGCTCAGTTGGTAGATGCTCTATCAACTGAGCCTGTCCCGTACCTCAGTTGGTAGAGCATCGGACTCCCGGTAGTGAGAGCCCGGGTTCGAGGCGCTCCGGCGCTCGATATTTGAGACTCCTGACGGGGATGGTCTGCAGGTGGGAGCAGCCGCAGCCAGTTGAAGTCAGTTGAGTGGGACA